GATAGATAGATAGATAGATAGATAGAGGATGGATGGATGGATGGATGGATAGAAAATTAGAAGAAGCTTATTTTTAACTATTTAAGGGATATTATGATTTTGATTTTACTTTAACCACTGTCACTGGTAGGTAAACAAAAATGCACTGCGAAGCATCTCTTTCCTGCTGCTTACAGTCAAACTTTACTACTACTGAGCTACTTACTATAACAAATGCACATTTTTAAAAAGATATCTGTGCTATCCTGGCAAACTACCACCAGAGCTGCACCTCCTAGGAGCCCCTTCCCACTGGGGAAGCTGTGCTGCAACAACGGACAGTCAAGCTGACTCAGAGCCCCAGATGCAGCAACATAATGTAAGGACAGCTCACGCATACGATAACAGACGCATAAACATTCACAAGAAATAGAGCACACCTTTGCTGCCATCTTGCCTTCATTTTGCTTTTTTTCCCCACTCACCAGTGGTTATAAAACTGTGGAATTTTAGATCCACACTCTTATTGCCACATGACAATCCCTTAAAAAGAAACAACACTTTGTAGAAGATCAGACAAGAAACATGGACAACAAACATTTCTGATAGGAGAAATTATGTTGTATACAGAAATATGAAACTACTTGATTTAAAATAAATAACAGAATGTATAGGTAACTGTGTAAAAAAAAACAAGCTATCAAATAACCCATTTCTGAAGATATAGTAAATGTATGACGTTTAGCTTGCAGAAAGAGCAATCATTAATAAGCATATTCTAAATAACAACTACAGGGTTATCAATACTACACCATCAGTAAAAATCAGTAGATGATACCTTATACAAATTGGTAAAAAAAAATGTAAATTTTACGTTACTATCCACAAACATGCAGTTCTTTTAGCATAAATACTATTGCAACAGAAGAAAAAAAGACTCAATATTTTGAATATCCTAGAGCTATTTTCCAAGCTTGAAACTACTTCATATTTGACAACCCCAAAGACAGCAAGGTTATCCACAAACAATTATAACTATTTTGACTATAATTTCTAGTATTTTCTGGCATAATAAGCTTCTACATGGACTGATCCTCCCACTTCCAATATGAATTAGCATGCAATGGAGTAACTCATGCAATAAACAAAAACTTCACAATGTGGATTTGGAGCAACAAAGCCATCATTTCACACTAAACTGCCATCATTCAACCAGAAGCAAAATAAAGTTTCTTCTAAAATAAAAGCATAATATTCCCATGTATGGATGAAAGCTGAAACAAGTTCACATCAATACTCAAAGAAGCCTGATACTCACGGAGCCTTTGTGAGTTTAAAGACTACATAACCGACGACCATCGTTGGGTAGTTGCTTGTCAAGTAAGAAGCAATTTCTGAACTAATTTAAGTGGCCTATAAGCGCTCTCTTTCTAAGGCTATTCGGTTTCACTGCATTATGCAAAACATGAGTAATTTGGAATTTCAGGGAATGTGTTAAATTCAGGTAATCAGGGCATCATTTGCATTCAAATGACGTCATAAAATTTCTGAACAGTCTTCCAGCTGTGCAAGGGAGCTACCGCTACTTAAGGGACTCTGAGACTCACTGTGTGCCCAGCATGGGTCTGGGTGCTCTGTCATTGCTACTCAGGCACAGTGTTTTCAGGACGTTTGGGAGCTCAGTCCCCTGTAGCTCAACGGTAAGTACTAGCATTTATCAGTGAATAAAAATGAATAATTAAGCTGGCTCACTCTTAGGGACTACAAGGATTCTTCTGTGACCTTACGACTAGAACATAGGATCATGAGTTTAGCCAGCTAATCCTTCTTGCTAAAACGCTTACACAGCCTGCTGAACCAAATCCCAACTCACCAGAAAGTCAAGAACTTGGGCAGCAGCTAGAAGCCACACTCCTTTCCTTTCCACACTGGTCCCCCCAGATCTCAGCTTCAGCCAACAAAGACAAGTCCCGACTTCCATGGGGCTCTGTATGTGCTGTCCCTTCGGCTAGACATGCCCACTCCCTCTCTGTCATCTAGCCAATTTTTTGAACTCATTCTCAAAACACAGATCAGACAGCGCCTCCTGGGAGAGCCCCCTGAGTGCTGGAGGGGTTAAGTGCTGGGCTTTCACTTTTTCCACAGCAGTCTGTGATCACCTCAAGACTGAAGGGCAAAGAGTAATCATTCACACACTCATTCATTCTCCCAGCTGCCTGTAAATCCCTTAAAGGCTAGAAGTGTCTTTTATCTCTAAATCCCCGTGGCCTTGGTTTACTTTAACATGCTAAATATCAAGAGCGCAAATGAGTAAAATCCTTTTAATGAGTCAATAAATGAAACACACACACACACACACACATGCGCGTGCGTGCCTTATGAGCTCACAGGGAAAAAAATCATCTAAATGTTATTTCTGAAATACAAGGGGAGTTGCTAAAAAAATATGCATGGGTACCTACAATGCCAAAAGTTCTGTCTATTTATCAAATAATAATAACAAGAGCTATATAGAATCAACACATTTTCAGGTTAAATTACAGCTCTCTTGAAACCAGAAATGCCTAGCGGGCAAGAGAAGCCCTGAGTTTCCTTACTGTAGGCCTTGTGTCAGTTCCCCGTGGTGTCCCGCTGCAGTTTAAGGGTCCTGGTTACACTGACTTCCCAGCTGATGCAGACAACACACACTGTCTAGACAACACACACTGTCTGCACCTTTAGAAACCAAGGATAATTTGTCTTAGTTATAAATAGCATTACTTCCATTTCAGACTTGAATTAATAATCTATGTATGCTGCTTAATATAAATTCTACCAAGTCATTTACGGCACATCAAACAATAGTCTCATTCTCCCAGTTGTGACGTTTACTTCTGAAGGGCCTATGGTATGTATCTTCTGCCCCAGTGGAGAGGGCTATGAGTCAAAACATCTCAGAAGTGGTATCCTAGAAACACTGAGAGAGAAATAAGAATAGCCTGTTTTTCAAACTTACTGGTCTTTTACCAGCATAGAGAAGAGGAAGGCACTGGGGCCATGGTCAGCATGAGGCAGAGGCTCTGCCGGCATAGAGAAGGGGTAGGCACTCGGGCATGATCACAGGAGGCAGAGACCGGAGTTCCAGAGTCTGCTCCTTCGCTTCCTCCTCCTGCATCTCTGACTCTGTCTGTCTTTCCTTTCCTCTCCTAATTCTCTAGGACTTGTTTTAGCAAACCACCTACATCAGCAAAATCCAGACCATGGAAACTCTATAGAGAATGGATGACCTCGTGTCTTAATAAATAAATTACAAAGAAAATTAAAAATAAAAAATAGAGGAATGGGTGGAAGGAACTATGTGATAAAAGAGACTAAAATAAACTAAGTGTGTACTTTATTTCACCTCTGGCTCAAAATGAGAAAAAATATGCATATAAACTATACACATAGAAACATATTTTTGAGACAGGTGAAAGTTATTCTGAAAGAATGGTTGCTTTACAGTATTAACGAATCTTATTTTTAACATGAAAATTCAGGGTTACATTTTTCTAAACAACCCTTACCTTTCAGACTTTGACTACTGAAAATTTTAATAAATAATATGTCATTTGCTTCAAAGTCATACAGAAAGGGCAAGAAGAATAGTAGGAGACAGACAAAGGAAGATAGCCTGTAAGTTCCCAATCACTGAAGCCAGAATTCATTATAATCCTCAGTCTAGTGTCTGGATTTTTTAGTAAAAGGCTACAAACGAACATCAAGACTATTGCTTCACAGGAATAATATTTATTAACTGAAAAATAAAACACAGGTTCCCTGCTTATACAGCTTTTCCATGGAAACAAGTCAAAATAAAAAGAAACAGAAGCAGCTGGCAAACACTGATTCGGATAACAAACTCCTTCGTAAAGGGCTGGGCATCCAAGGTTTTCTACTACAATAATCTAACTTCAGAGGATGCTACAAGTAACCCTGAATTCCTACCTATGTCAAAACTTTAGTGAAGTCAATTATTTGGCTGCAAATCTAGACAAATATTTTTTCAGACTGTACATATCACACATGTGAATAACCAAGCACATTAACACATTACAGTTATGTTAGTGTCGCGTGCATGGACGATCGGAAAATGTCCAGCAAGCACATTAACACATTACAGTTATGTTAGTGTCGCGTGCATGGACGATCGGAAAATGTCCAGCTTGTCTTCAGTAACGTTTACAACAATCTTCAACTACGTGAGCTCCACATGCACTTGCAGATCAATGTCAGGTTGGTGCGTGCAAACAGAAAAAAACCCTTTCATGGTTCCAAAAATATTGGCTAGAATTAGCCAGTAACTTCAAAATGATTTTCAAACATATCTATAGATGTTTGGTATTGATTTAAATGCAGGTACATTAGTTTGATTAATTTAATGCAATAAATTAGAGGTTTTTTTTAACAAATTAAGTGCTCGATAACAATACAGCCCTAATTACAACGGTGAAAAAGTAGGGAGGACCAGTTTATAGAAGTCAGGAGTGGATAGGCATATCTCTGGTGTTCACAAAGTAAGGGAGCAGGCTATTTTGCAGTGTAGTTTATTTTTGCTTGGGTTTCTTAGGGATGCCTAGTTTCCTTCTTCTCCCTTCTTTCTGCGTATCTTGTGTTATAAAGCCTTCTCTCGCAGTTAAAACAACGAAGATGATGATGCAATCCTACCCAAACAGAATGTCCTCCTACCCCGTGCAGTTTCGCTTGAGTAAGGAGATGGGGTCTTGGCCTCTAGCCCCTTGCTCCTTGCTCAGGTTACTGGGCTACTAGGAACATCCACCGCCACCCCCTCCAAACAGCCCCCGCCCCTTCTGTAAAACCCTGGGCCTGTGCTTCTTTGGGTTCCTTTTTTCTCTGTCTCCTTTTCTCCTCCTTCTTGCACCAGGAGCATCATGCATGAGTCGCATTAGGGCTGTGCTCTTTTCACCCTATGCACCACGTCTCCAGGGCAACCCTAAGCAAACATGGGGTCGTGCGGCTGCGCCACGGACCACCTCCCTCACCTGCTGGCCGCTAGGGTGGCCCCGCACCCGCGTGTTGAGCCGGTCGTGCCAAGTTTCGTCCTCGCCGCCCAAGCGGTAGATGAGGCGCAGTGGCACGATGCTCTGGCGCTCCAGGAAGCGGTTTTCGTCCCTCCTCTCCAGCTCCCTCAGTGAGGCGTCTCCTTGCAGGCAGGCAGAAGGGCAGGCGGGAGTAGAGAGAAATGGCAAATAAATAATAAATAAATAAAGCCCTACGAAAATTCCCCCACCTCCTCCCTCCCGGACCCCATCAGGGAAGGACGCAAAGACACCAGCTGGAGAGCTCTGGACCAGCTCATCTGAGAGCATCCCAGGGCCCAGAAACACGGCACCCGTTTCCCATTCTCCCCATTTTCCTCTTTTTCAAGGAAAAAAAAAAAGGCATTTGACCCCAGATTGTTGGAGCATCCTTGAGCCCCCACACGTTTGCTCCTTTCTCACCGCCCTTCAAAAAATACAAATAGAAAAAAAAATAATAAAAAACCCCCGCGCACTGTGGAAACGCAGATGCGGCTTTTCGGGGGGCCTCAGGGTTCCAAAGAATCCTGGAAGCCCAAGCAGCTGCGAACTTACCTGCCGGACCGCAGCGCGCCAGGGGGCAGGTCCCTAAGACGCAGAGCAGCCAGAAGGACGCGGCCGCCACTGCCTGCATGGTGGCGGCGCTCAGCTGCTCGCGTCCCGGCCACG